TAAGTATCTTTCCCACTCTCTATTACATAATATATCCGTCAATTTAGGTCAAATACCTTTTATCTCAAAACTTTTCAATGTGGCATATTTTCTTTTGGCAACCTATTAACTCCTTTGCTTGTGATTTAATTTTAAGTATAATTAGTCGAACAGGAAGTTAGCCGACCTATTACCGAAAATATTGTAGCTCCTTATATCATTCGGGAAACTGAAGAAGAGAGACAGACTCGCAACCTTAGCAATGAGATTTCCGGGCTTCGTCTGGATATGGATAATTTCCAGACTAATATGCAAGAATTACTAGAAAGAAGGTCAGAAGTGGGTACAACTGTTTTTGAGGAACAGCAGCAACAATTAGAAACGCAAATGGCGGAAACCCAAACTCGCTTGAACGAATTACAAGCTCGCTACAATGCTATTCCGGAAGAAATTCGGCGATCTAGTGCAGCCAAAGCTGAACAAATACAAACCTTTCAAAACTATCTAACGCAAGGCACTAGTTATTTGTTTTTGTTTTTAGTTATTCTTTTCTTTATTTGGCTTTGAAAAAAAGTACGCAAAATCTTGGGTTGGAACAAGAAAAAGAAGGAAGAAATTCAAGAACAAGTAAAGGCTCTTAATACTGAATTGCAAGTGCAAAAAGTTGAACAGGCCATTGAGCAACTTCGTCAAGAAAGAGTGGTTAAAAAACCTAAAAAAGCAGAATTAGTTGTTGACAAGCAATCGGAGGAAGTTTCTTTATCTTTGACAGAAAAAGAATTAGGGAAATAATTTCTCTGGCTAGTGTTCCCATTTCTTAAATAGATGAATTATAGTGATTATGAGGCGAATAATATTGGAAATGTTGGAGATAATAGTTCCTCAAAAGCAACTTTAACTACAGTCTTATTCCACGCATCTTTTTCCTTTTGGTGGGCTTGTTTGATTGCTCGGAGTTTTCTTTTTAATTCAGTAACTTCTTGTTCTAGGTGGGTGTGTTAAACATGATTAAGTTTATTCTCATAAACTATTAACTTTATAGAGAGTTTTTATAAGATTAGATTCTCCAAAAGAGAAAAAAGTTGTACAAATATAATAATGACTGACTGAAAAGATATTCATCCCGATTTTACAGAATCACTACAAAAGCAATGAGAAGATAAAGGATTTAGTTGCAAGGAATGTAAAAAATGAATTGACGTTGCAACAATCAAGGATGTTGATTATGTTCAATGATTAAGAGACGAAAAGAAAGTTAATCCTAGGTGAGTACTTAATTATATTTTAAAACATGGCAGCAGTGAAAAATTAAGAGAACAACATGAGAAATATCTAGCAAGCAAAAATAATAGCAGAGAGGGAAAGAAAAACGCTCAAGAATGACTAGAAAGTCAAGAAGAATATAATACGAAAGAAAAAAGGGAGAAAGTGAGGCAATTAGGAATTAGTGGTTGAAACTGGGATAAAAGAGAAGAAAAAAGCGATTGAAAAAAATTAGAAGGTGATTTAGACTTGTCTGATTTTATTAATTTGGAAGCATTAGATTGTTCTTTCAACCACTTGACCAGCCTAAAATTAAATAACTGCTTAAAATTAAAAAGGATCGGCTGTGGCTTTAACAAATTAACTAATTTAGATTTAACCGGTTTAACTGAATTAGAGTTAATTCATTGCAATGATAATTATTTAAGCAATTTCAATTTTTTATCCTTAAATCCTAATAGGCTTACTTCTCTAAACATAAGCGACAACAACCTATCCGAACAGGATTTATCAGTTTTTAGTGGATTTACAAACCTCGAGTGTTTATGAATTGGTAATGATAATCAAGAACACTTCAATAATAATCTCTATAACAAATTTCATGGTTCATTAGAACCTTTAAAAAAATTAATTAAATTAAAAGATCTTCATATTTCTAATACCGATATTGATAGTGGATTAGAGTATTTGCCAGATAGTGTTGAAGAATTTCATTGTTCTGCTGAAAAAAATCCTGAAAGGGAGGTAAAAAATATAGGGTTAAAAAGTTACTGAAAAGATATTCATCCCGATTTCACAAAAGAGTCGATGCAAGAATGAATAAGCAAAAAGTTTAGTAAAATTGAGTGCAAAGAATGGTTAGAGGTTGGATTAAAAATTAATGAAGCAAGTTTCGCCGATTGATTAGAAAAAAGTAAAAAATACGATGCAATTTGATGTTCAAATAATTATTTTTTTTGAAAATTGTTGTTACAAGCATTACGCCAAGAGTATAGTAATAAATCACAGAAAGAACGAGAATTAGCAGAAGAAGTTCTTTGAAAAAATATCCATCCAGATTTTACAGAAGAGTTGCGAAGAGATTGAAAAGAACGCGGTTTTAGTTGCGAACAAGTCAAGCAGGGAATATCTAGAGGCTTAACGATAAATGATGCTAATTTGGTTGATTATTATTTAAAGAGAAGGGAATATGATGCTAAATGATGGTATTTAAACAATGTTAAAGAATTAAGAGAAAATTATGACAACTACCCAAAATTAAAAAAACTTCACTTGGATTTTACCCCCCGTTTACAAGAATTATGAGAAAGTTGAAAACGGGTGGGAAAAAATCCTAATTTTACTATTGAAGAAATCCAA